ACGCAAAAGTTTGGTTCAACTACAGCACGATGGCGTCGTTGAACGCCTGGTTTGCTGATTTTTCAGAGGACGCTATTGAATACGAGGCTGCCGATGTTAACAGCAGATGGATGCAGATGGAGGCTCGAAGCAGTCGACAAACCTTGTGGAAGCCACGTCGATGTGTCAAGCACTCAGCATCCCGGTTCCAGTCCAACGGAAGCACCAGCCACAAAGCTTGAGCAGCGAAACACAAAACTAATGCACCCGCCAGCTACCAGCCCCATCACCGCCGCACCAGCCACCACCACTTTTCGCACATGCCTCTGTTCGATGTTTCTTCTCGCTGAATATTAATAGACGGCACAACACCTGTTGCACACAACAACAAGAAAACAGCGGAGACTTTTGTCCTACGACGCACCTGTCGCATGCTCGTCGCACGAATGTGTTGGTGGTGGGCTGTGGAGTTCGCTAGAGGTACCTTTTGAGGCATCCCTTATTACACCAACTCCACCAACTGAGGAACTGTTGAGCCATCGCTATGTTTAGCAACCATGTGAGAGAAACGAGATGAGGCAGATTTGTGTAATCTCCTCCGCAGGATTTCCATCTTCGGCGAAGCCCGGATGTGTGTCAAAAACTTCAGAACATAACCAGTAGCATACAGCTCTGCCGCATACGCACCACCATTACATCCCGGATAAGCAGATGATATCTAAGCTGCCGTATACGTCCACATAACGTAGCGACAACAGTATACAAGACGCACGTCCTTCTTGCATACCATCACATAGAACCCTCCTGCACAAAATCTTTGTAAAACACGTATTCATCACAACATCATCCCATCATCACACTTCCATACATGCGATCATAGCGCCTCACCTCCAATCAGCTTTACTCAGAAGATCCAATGTGTTCACAAAACATCTCATCCATCCAATTGATCAAGTTCAATAAGTTATCATTACGTTCTAGCGCATCTGTGATGATTACCATCACAATGTCACACAACGACCACTCTGACATACCAAGTCACTAACCTGTACAACCTGTATGATCGCACAGCCCCTGAACTGTACCTCCTCACATGGAGAGCTAGACCATAATAGCGCTGACATGTACCCGATTCTCCATCCAATCTGCCTACCAGCTGACGCCTATCAAGCCGTTAGCACGCATAACAAGATGTCTCCGAACCGCGTTGCTAAAGTATACCAAGGGGGCTACATACTAGTAACAATTCAGCAAAATATCTCAAGAGCTATTCGTGGCGGCTACTTTACCCTTGCACCGCGCACTTACACCGTGACATGTAGCCATCTAGACAACACTTCACGAGTCCCGAATCACCCATCACGAATGACAAAGATGAAGAATGCTGTACCATTCAACAATCCGTATCATCACTATTACTTTCATCTGATGTTGTACAAAGATACATGCAGCTACGCCCAACTCAAACCAACGCAACTCAACCCAAGTCCCCTTTTTCTCTTTCGAACAACAATACCATGACTAAACGAACGCGTTCTTACACCCTAAGTTCCATCTGTTCAGCCCCAAAACTAGAATTAACAACACTACCAGCGCCGTGATGGTGGTGGAGATGGTGTTGTCTTTCCTTGACGAGGGCGTTGTACTATACATATCACACGTTAGCAATGTCATCCACTAAAATCCGTCTTCCCATCACATCCCTGACAGATAGATGGATAGAGCAGAAGGGGAAAAGAATACACATACCTTAAACCCAAAATTCAAACACAACGCAACCGCCAGTCCCACACAAACCACCAACGGCCCCGTAACAGCATCAAAGTCCTTCCCACTCCTCTCCCTAATAAGCCTCGCGCGGTAAATATACATCGCATACCCCCACGCCAGCGTAAAAGCCGCAATGCACGTATACACGACCGCAAGCGCGCGAGCAATATCATTGCCCTCACCCGCTGCATTATACAACCCAAGACTCAACGAGGCGAGCAAGACGCTAACGTGCTGCCACTTGATAAACGTGCGTTGGTTCGCGAGCCAGACTTTAGCTTCTACACGCACGGGCCCTTGGTCTTTGATCCAGACGCCTGGGTCGCGGATGCCGGGCGGGAGTTGGATGGCGCGTTGTTGTTTGCGCGCGTATTTTGAGGTGGAGAAGGAGGGGAAGAGGGAGGCGAGACCGCCGCTGCTGCTGCTCTTGGGCTGTTTTCCGTTGGAACCACCGGCGAGGAGGAGGGTGTTTTCGTCGTCGGAATCGGGTTCTTCGTTTATACGCGCGGCGTTGGCGGTGTCGGTGTCGCGGTGCGAGCGCTGGGAGAGGTGCGATCCGATTGTGGGGAAGGGGGGTTTGGTGACGGGCATGGAGTGGGCGGCTGCGGAGGCGCTCTTGGGGACGGACGACCGTGTCGCGGCTGGTGAGCCGACGGGCGAGGCGATGGAGGCGCGGTAGCTGGGGCTTGCGCGGGCGCCGAAGAGGGAGCCGACTGCGAATTCGTCCTCGGCTGCTTTGCGCTTCTTTTCTTGTTCCTGGTCAAAGGCGGCTTCGGGTTCTTTGCGGATGTCGTTGTCGACTTCGCTGAGCCAGAAGGGGAAGGTGTTGACGTTGTCTTCGAAGAGCTTGGCTACGCCGTGGACGAACTTGGAGAAGCGGGGGGATTCTTTGACCAGGTGCGAGTGCATGAGGTCTTCGATCCATTCGTACTTCTTCAGGCCCTTGACTTTGATCTCGAGGAGGGCGTAGGGGAACTTGTGGAGCTCGCCCTTCTTGAGCGCCTTGAAGGGGAACTCCATCTGCCCGTTGTCGATGTCGCGCCTGTGCCAGTCTTCGGGGTCGCGGCAGGGTCTGTCGTCGTCCAGGGCGTCTTCGCGGATCAGGGCGAGGTTGGTGTCTAGGGAGATGCGCACGCGGTTGTCGCCGGGGATCTGGAACGCGGTGCGGGTGTAGTTGGCGCGCAGCATCGGCTGCAGCTTCTGCTCCTTGACATAGCTCTGAATGTCTGTTACAGACTTCTTGAACTTGTCCACCTCCTCCTGGTTCTTGTTGGGGCGGTATTCCATCTTCTCGATGCTCTTCTCCATGTGGTACTTGTCTTCGAGGAAAGACTGCACGTATTTGGCCTTGATCGGGAAGCGGACTTCTTCGGCAGCGTTGCCATCCTTGATGACCTTCTTCTCGAACATGATCTCGGGCTTCTCACCGAGCTGTCCGTACCACCGGAGTCGCAGCGAAGAGGCATCGGGCTTGCCGTTGACCTTGTCCGAGTAGAGGGAGAAGTTGGGGTTGTCGAAGTAAATGGACGTGATGGTAGGGTCGCGCTGGGTACCCTCGGCGACCTTGGACGACATGGGGTTGTAGACGAGGACGGGGAGGCGGCGGAGGATGACGGTCTTGACTTCGAAGAGGTTGTCCATGTGGACCCAGACTGTGTGTGTTAGCTTATATCTGCCAATGATGTATGGTGTGCCTACACTTGTGAGAGGTGAAGCCCTCGCCGTCGGTGCTGGTCTCGCCAAAGGACAAGGCCTCCTTGGACTTGCCCTCCAGGCTCTGTCGGACGAACGAGTACAGCGCCGACAGCCTGTACAGCAGCGGCGAGGCATCCTCGGTGTGCAGTGGGTGGCGGGCAATGCGCGCATCGATAAAGGGCCGCAGGCGGTAGGAGCTGCCGCGGATCTTGTCGTGCTTCTTGGTGGCCTTGATGACGGCGGTGAAGTTGATGCGGCTGAAGCTCTCGAGCTCCTTGGTCTCCTTGGTGATGTTGTCGAGCTCGCGCAGGACTTCCTTGAGGATCTTGTCCCTCTCCTGCTGGCTGGGCTCGGGTTTCTTGGACGCTTCGCCTGACGCGTCGCCGAACAAGCCCTCACCATTGCTCTCTTTCTTCTCCTGGCCGTCCTTGGCCTCTTCCTTGCCCTCCGCCTGGATCCCTATGGCCAATGGCTCCAGCTTCTTCTCGCATGCCGTCGTGCGGTCGCGCAGCTTCTGCGAGATGTCGGTGATGAAGTTGTGCACCTTCTCCAACTGCACATTGGCCAGCTCGTCGACAAACGCGCTCTCGTCGTCGGCGGTCCAGGAATCGTCATCCTCGTTATCCTTGAGCAGCTTCTTGAGCTTGTCGTAGTCGATGTACTTGTCCTTCCACGGCGCATACACGCTCTTGCGCAGTGTCGTGCCGAACTTCATGGCTTAGCGAGCGAGTGTAGTTGATTGCAGGAAAGTGGGAGCTCCAGCAGTCGCGACGCGCAGTAGCAATAGTCAGGATGGAAGAATTGCCGGCGCCGGAAAGCTCTGCATGGAGGATTGGGAGTGAAGCAATGCAGCTGGGTTTAGCTGGTGGGGAGCTGCGCGCAGCCAATGCCCAGGAACCTTGGGCGCACGTGTTTCGCGTCCCGCGAGCGTCATAGCTGCAGCTCCGCTTTCATCCCAGCTCTCTTCACACGAATCATTCAGCGTTATGTTCACTAGAATGTATGTCCGCACTGTACTTCAATTCATGCGACTCTACACAACCTCTCGATGTATCCCTATGGATCATTGAGATGCTCTTCGTCAACAACTACAAAACAACATCCGTCGCCGCGAGTCATTCCCGCTAGGAAGACCCACGCATCTTCACGTCCCGACATTAGTGTCCGAGGCCCAAGTCTGGCCCTGCCTCCTCCATCCGCAGAGCTCGGTGAGTCTTGCGGCGCCGCTTCACAACTGTTGAGGAAAGTCTAGTATAATATATCCGCCTTGTTTACAGTCGTCTTCGCTGCAATCGTGATTTTAAGAAACGGTTGACACATGCACCTCACACAAGGGAAAGATTGAACAGGTCTGCAGACTACATTAAGGTGAGTACATGTAAGATGGGTGTTTTGGCATCGATGTACACCCTAGGGTGTTCACTTTTTCCCTAGATTGACGTGCGTGCTCCGTGCGATGCGCATGCGATGACTGCATCAGGATGCTAATAATAAGCTACACATCTCTAAAACTCCAGCAGCGTTGACAACCTGAAGAAACAACCATCTTCAATGCATTACCATGGTTCAGGCATCGGACGCTTGGAACGCTCAGAACCCAAAAACCTGGCACGCTCAGCCTCATACTCTTCTGGACTCAATGCAGCCACTTTACGATCCTCGCCAATGGCGATATCCGACAACTCCCTGATGAGACCAATCGCGCCCTCAGTCTCCGCCCAAGCATTATAGCACTCTTGCAGCGTCTTCTGCATCTCTTCCACGCTACCCCAATGTACCTGGTTTGGGACAGCCGTCAAGTGGTCGCCCGGATTCAACAAGGCAGGCCAAAAGTGCGGGTTCATCCCGTCAACCGCAATATATAGCTTCGTGATGTGCTCCTCCAGCTCGTTGATCAACGGGATACAATCCTCTAGTTCGCGTATCTTGATCTTTGGATTGTTCCACACCAAGTTGGCACAAACATGGTCCTGGAACGTTTCTACCTTGCAGTTGCGAGTCGCCAGGAGGCCCCAGCGAGCACGTATCTTGACGAGCGTGACGGCGACGAGGTGGGACAGGTCAGAGACGCTGGGCGGGTTGTATTGGTGCACCTTGGTGCGGTAGTCTCTAACCTTTGTGAACCTCTTGACCGAGTCGAACACGTTCGAATCTTCTTTCATGTGATTTTGCATCACGACGGGGTTCCGCCAGTCGTAATTACTGTGATTTCCCTCTATGACCCACCACTCACAGAGGCTGTAACATTCTTGATCTTGACCTAGGCGGATGAGGAGAAAGGGTGTGATGCACCGCAGTCCCATAGGGTCTTTATAACTCATCTTCGTCAAGGCGTCAATAATTTCCAGCGCCTTTTCCAAGGCAGTCTTCGTGTTGATGCGAATCATCTCAAGCACGACTTCTTTGCCTGATAGCATGTATTTCCTTGCTACTTCGTTCTTCCAGACATCGTCGGTTTTGGTGTTGAAAGGGTTCGGCGAACCCCTCTTTGCCTTGTGGGCCTTGAGCGCAGCTTCCTCTTTCTCAAGGACAAACGTGGCTTTCTGGATTCTCTTGCAGAATGTCTTGTGTGTTGGTCGATCAGCAGCTTGGTGTTCTGGGCTGCAGTAGTAGACTACCCTGCAGGCACTGCAGCGGCTGAGGTTTGGGTTCAGGGTGGCGCGGCTGATGTCGTCTTTTTCGGGGCAGATGGGGCACCCCCATTTGAGGTCGTGGGACACGCTGAATGAAATTTGTTGGTTGTTTTCGTTCGGCTGGGGTCCATGTAAGGGATTGGGATCAGTGCCGGGTGCAGGGCGTTTGCCTGCTGTCCGATCGGCGTTGCGAGCAGCATGGTAAGCCGCCGTGTCTTGAGGACCATAGAATCAGTATCGCGGATACAGAACGCTGAAATCGACTGACCTTCTTTGTCGCGCATTTTAATGTAATCGGAGATGTCCATGGTGAGATGCGGGGGAGTAAACACGTTGCGGCGGTGACGACGACGACGACGACGGGTTGTGATGCACTGGTGTTGGGAGAAAATGAGATGGAACAAGAGAAAAGACGGTGAGCGCAGAATCGGAGGAATGTGCGAGGACAGCCGAATTTATCGGAGCAAGTTTCGAGGACAGCCGAACTTGAAGCTACTGTGGTTTCGAGGACAGCCGAGTTTGGATCGAGGACAGCCGAGCTCGAAGCGAGGGACAGCTGAGCATGTCGGAGGAATTTCGAGGACAGCCGAGCTCACAAAGCTAAGATGCGAAGTCAGGGTCAGCCGAGGTTAAACCGGCTCACATGAACAGACTTTTAGAAAGTAATTAGAATGTGTCTCTAGTAGATACACGGTGTTGAGATTTTGATACATACCGTGAGTTCAGTGGCTTGTCAATAGTCTATCAGGCATGGTGGACAAAATATGCCAGTTAAGACTGGGTTAAGACTGAGTAAAGACTGAGTAAAGACTCGGTAAAGACCGGTTGGAACTGAGTTGGAACTCAGTTGGAACCAGGTTGGAACCACTTATCTATCAGCGTCTCGTGCTAAATAGAAGCTCATAGAGTACCACGAACACCAAATCTGATATCAGATCGCGATATGGGTTCTCACAGTACTATGACATTCTCTTGATGTCATCTGCTTTACGTCGTACTCTTCAAGTTGATAACGGTAGCGAGCATAACGTCCCTGATCCTACCCAACCCGCTCTTATCCTTAGAGCTCGAAACTTCTTGCATACGACGTCGCTCCTTAGCTGTTGAGGTGGTGCCAGTACATGTCCGTTGTTGACGTACGTTTCTACTACTATCCGCGTTGATGAACGTGGCCATGTTTTCTGGGCGCGTTCGTGCAATGAGCCTTTGTCACCCTGAAGTCGACGATGATTGAGAGGGAGAATTGATGTATTGATATATTGCGAACTAGATATACCAGAAGAACTGCCTCCGAACAGACAAGACCTGTCCACAGATGATGATGGAATAGTTGAAGCGACGTCGCGCCACCTGGAATGCTATGTATACATGGTGTATAACGTGTGGAAATGGTGACAAATAAGAACGAGTGATGTGTTGCAGGTTTGTGGCTGCATGTCATCCATCGTTGTAGTGAGGACGTATCGTACAGTTACGTGTAGTGAGCAGGAAGGTAGATCGACTGTATCTTTTGAACCGCACTTCCGAGCTATTCATAACCATGTTTGTTTCTTGCGCTGGAGCGTGAAACCGCCAGGTAATGTCGTACGGGAACAATGGGCTTTCAGTTGCCGAATAGGACGTGTACCGCATTCACGAGTGCTGCGGTAGTGTAGTCATTGACAGTGACAAGTGCTGGAAAGTCGTATGCCGCATTGACGTAAGACTGGCCCATAACGCCATCGTCGATGAGAATGAGAATCATTGGAAGTCCTGGTATAGTATCGCTTTTCGGTATCTTTTTCGAGATGCTCCGTGCGAACTTCAATTGCCGTTCAAAAGCCTGAGCATGCTTGCTGATGACATTCGAGGTGGCGCATATGATGACGATGACTGCTCCGCTGGTTGGCAGAAAATCGGCGTGCATCTCTGTCATGCCAGAGTCGAGACGGTATGGGACGTGTCGTACTTGTCTTGGTAGAGCGCGACCGAGAGGCTCGAAAGGGTCCATATCTTTCGCGAGTGTCGTCGATGGCGGATGAGGTACGAAGGGGGTGAACAAGGTGATGATTTCTGCTTCGTTCAGGCGCCGCAATCGTTCAAGAGTCTGCGTTGGGCATCGTACAATCTTGGCGGTTCCGGAAGACGGATTCTGCGTCGCGGTCGACCTGCTAGATGCTGAAGTCATCTTGGGTCGATGTGTGTTGCTCTTTGAGGACGGTTGGCTTTTTCGTTCACCCATCACTACGCAGCTGCGGATGTTACTATGGTGACGGTAGAAAAGCACAAAAGGTCTTAGGTGAGCCAGTCGAGAGGAAGATTTGAGATTGCTTTGGGCATCGTTTGCAAAAGCGCGGCTCTTATATCTCGATCGCCAACTCAAGTTCCCATAGCGAATCGACTCTTGCTTTTGCAGGGAAGAGACACCGTCAGAACACTGTGCCGGTTGACGTTGCAAGCCGAAGCCAGCCGGCAACGGGCGTAAGACGTTATGCTGAATGGCAAGGTAGGCGGTCCCGGCTATGGGACTCAGGAGTACAAAAAGCAGCTATGCAAGGTTGGCAGTAGCCACCCCAGAAATCGTCAAATGAGGTGCTGATGTCGAGTGCTTGTGGATCGCTAAGTGGACCGTGACCTTGTTAATAGTACCTGAAGTTCTTCCCACCCTGTTCGATTGGAATTAAGTTCCTGAAGATGTATGTCAATACGATAGATAGTAATACTTGGGGTGGTACCAGATAAAGAACGAAGAAAGTAGTACATGACCGCGGCCAGGCACTCTCCGGTGTAGATAAAGAAGTGCATCCACCACCGTAGTGGGCGGAGATCTTACCGATTGGATGACGTTTTCCCGTCCGTAGCCATGACTGACACGACAGAAGCGTTGCCGTAGCGTGCTCGCGCATGTCAGTAAGGAGCACAGCGGGCGTATGAGTGCACGGCGACGGTTGCATCGGGTAGCAGCAGGATCGTGTATCGAGAATAGATGACGCCACATCTAGTCGCAGATCCAAGGCTCCACATTGATCACATTGCGTGCCTTGAGATGCGCGTGTCAGCCTACTGTAGATGAAGGGCAGTCTTAGAGGCCCGTCGGCCGTCCTGATAGAGATTGACGATTCAAGGAAAGCCTGCCACTCATTCCAAAGCAAGGACCAACAGTCAGGTTGATGATGAAAGTCGATACCCGACGCGTGCTTGTCATCGCGGGCAAGGCGTACAACGCGCGGGGGTCAGTACAATTCGAGTCAAGGTTGCAGGAGGCGTGCTTGAGTTGATGGCTGACCCGCAAGGCTACCACCCATGGCGGGCCAGTAGCAGTTGCGCAAGCCGCAATCATTACATTTTGATGCTTGCTGTGTAACACAAAGGGTTGACCTCGATGTGGCGATGGCGAGAGGCGCGATGCATGCTCCAGTGATGACACGGCCATGCGGGTGACATCTGCACGATTGATTGAATCAAGCACGAGTAGCGTGAACGAGCCGCGGATGGCCAGACCGGCAGCCGCGCTGCTGTGTGCCCACACATGAATATTGGCGATGATGTCGCGGCTGGTGATATTTGATGGCATCGTTGAAGCAATCTGGTGCGAGCAGAGTGAACTGTGGAAAGGGTGTGTCGACCGCGATGTGTTAGCGGGGCTGCTCGCTTGTTCGTAGCCCATCGAAACGGGGAAGGCGCGATCAGGCTGTCAACAACCACCACCGCGACGCGTCTGCACCATCAACGGCTCACACAACAACAGCTGACAACTGTCTTACTGTATGCGCGTTGCATTGGCAGTGTGATGCCATCGGTCGCCGATAACCCCACATCGACTTCGCTCCAAGCCAGCTACTGATGGACTCAGCAGAAGAGCGGCCCACGCTGCAGGAGACGCTAAACTTACTGCATCAAGGTAGGTGTCGATATGCGGCAACGAGCCCGGTCAGGATCAGTGCTTACACCGGCCTGCAGCATCTAGAACAACTGCAAAGCAACGGACCGTCAAGGTCTCCAGCATAGTCGATGTCATCTGCCGTTACGCCTCGGAAGATGGCCTTGACCAGGATGCGCTGCGAGACATAGTGCAGCTCGCGTCGGTGAAGACCCTGCTAGACCAAACCACCATCACGACTTTGATCAAGAACTTGTACCCGTCTCAAAAGGTTCCAGGCGATGTTGTCATTACTGTTGTTGGTGCGCTTGGGCAGGGCAAGGGCAAGCCTTCGCCCGGTACACAAGACGGTCTTGTGAAATGGCTCATCGCAATCCATGAGGTCGTGGAAGATTCGAGCGTCTTGTCCCGACTATATGGTGTGCTGTTTGGTATGCTCGACATGATCAGTATCAGGTGTGTTACTTCGGCCTGTCACCAAATACATAAGTGCTAAATTTAGCAGGACATCTTTGTGCCATCTGCTGTCCTTGATCACCCGTAGGAAACACGTTAAACCATTCCGGATTCAACAGCTGTATGTACAGGGTTTTGAGCATCAATACGATGTAGATACCGATAACTAATCTTACTCCAGACTAGAGCTGTCTCGCGGCCTCGGCAACGAGCCTGCGCTCCAAGGTCTCCTCCGTGTTTACAAGGATTACTACCCCGATATAATACTCGGAAGCACTTCCACAAGCCGGAAGTCGTTCGCTCCGGTGAGTATCCGTCCCTCGTACCACAACAAATGCAACCTCAGATCCCCCACGCTACTTCCCCGCATCTCCTTGTGGCACTGCCGAATGCAAGCTAACTCAATAGCGACCTGATGCCGAATGGCAAGCCAAGATCGTTGCCATCCAAGAGGCTAGTGTGGCGGAAGATGACTCGAATGTAGACGGCCAGAACGGTTTCAAGGTGCTACGAAGAAGACTCCAGGGCAGCAAAGGATCGGCGATTCCGGACGTGCATACCTACCATGCGACCGAGGTGGGCGAACATCTCTGTTCATCATTCTGGCGGGTACTAATGTTGTGTGACAGAGCTCAGCAACCCTTGAGGGCATTGATAGTGTGGACGATTTTGTGGAAAAGCTCGACAGGATAGAGCCACCGGGCCAGCTGATAGCGCTCCTCGTGGACCCGTTGCTACAGAAGTACATCGATTTGAAGCCATCACCAATCACAGCCAGTCGATTAGGAAATTGGCTTGCGACATGCCTGGAAGAGCAGTTCGAGGAGTACCGACAAGGCACTGCAAACGATAAGTATCTATCTGAAATCTTCGATGGACTTCTCAGGTACGCCCAGTACACTAAGGTAAGTGCGTTGGCATGTTTCACGTGCAGCTGGCTAATTGATCAAAGTCACTACATCCCACGGTACTAGGGTTTCTTCGCGAGTACCTCCCGATATGGGATGGTCAGAAGGACTCTCAATCCTTATTGGGACTCGTCTCCTACATTCCGATTGAAGTGTTTGAGGACGCCCATACGACCTACCTGTCCCCTGTCGAACGAGCCCTAGCAGCTCGTGGCCTGACTGCGTACACGAAGATTGTCGATTTTTACACGGCTCTACTGCAGCACCAAATGACACAAACAGCATCTGGACCTTCTGAACAAAGAGAAACCAGACAGGAAGTACTGAGCGATTTAGTTGAGCATGTGGCAACTCTATTCACTTCGGCTCTCGTATCAACCCCCCCAGGTTTCAGTACCAACCTCACATCATCCATCCTCTCGTTCTACGAACTCCTCAGCACCTCCTCGAAACCACACATCATCCCCATCCATCTCCCACCGATGCACCTCGTCTACCTACTCTCCCAGGACGCTTCCCCAACAACACTTGCCCGCATCTGTGGCATCATTGGCTCCTACAAGCTAGCTTTCGATGCGCATCCCAAGCCGGTCAAAACATACTACCCCGCAGAAGTTACCGATGCATTCAATTGGTGTCTGCGCGACATGTACAATTTGGTGTGGGTCTCTCGTGGTCTTCTCGTTCAAGATCAGAAGAGCAAGGGGTTGTATTGCGATACGATACTGAGGGGTACACTTAATGAGTATCTACGGAGGGTAGATCGTGGATACACTATTGGGGCTGCGTTTACGTTGTCGTATAATGCGTGGTTGGCGTCGCTGTCTGCGGCGGCGTGGCGCGCGGTCGAGAAGCGGGAGGTTGGGAAAGCGGGTGAGCAGAATGTCAAACGGTATCACGACGGGCCTGTTAGTGAGAAGAGTCTAGAGGTGCTCAAGAGTAAAGGTGGCGTGGACGTGGATTGGGAGGGTGCAAACGGGTACAAGGTCATGGTATTGCAGTGGCTGACCGAGAGAGGATTAGGTGGGATCAGGGATTTGATGTTCGCTACCGTTATCAACCTTAAGGGTACGGCCTGATAAACACCGATTATATGGACCCAAGAGGTCATACGAGTTGCGAGTATTAGCCTAGTGCTTGGTCTGATGTTCACGGTGCCTCACATGTCAAAACTCGTGACACCACGACACGCGCAGCGCCTATAAAATTTTGAACATACCCCAAGCATATTCTGGACCTCTTTCAATCGGGGTTCTGCTTATTTCGGCCAATTGTTGTCGCGCATGCGACTTCGTTTTTCTCGATCGACCGCCATTATTTTAGCAACGCCACCTGGGCCCGCTCACCGTTTTTCATCTCAACGCATCCCATCCGCATTACCACTTCATCACTCGCAACAATTAGTATAATCACCTTGCAGACCGAGCAACAATGGATGAACACAACGCATCTCCAAAACCACGCAAACGCAAAGCGTCCAACCCCGATCCCGCGCCGCCGCGTACGCATCACGTGATCGAACACTATGCGCCATTGCCCTACAAGAAATCCTACGGTCTCATGGGACGATGCAGAAACTGTCTCGAAAAGGAGAATCTCATTCTATGCAGCGACTGCAATGCCATGTTTTACTGCAGCTCCGATCATCAAGCCCTCGACAAGGCAAGCCACCAGACATTGTGCGACAGAATCCAAAAACTTCACGGCCTCATCGCTGATTCTGAGGATGCGCTGAAACGGGATTCGGGAGATAAGGGTGCGCCGAAAGACCCGTTTGGGACTGCGGGTGGCAGGTTTTGGGAGTATGAAGCGACGAGGGAGTATGTGTACCGGAGGAGGGATCTGCTGTATGAGCTTTATAGCGTCAATACTACAGCAGCGGTGCAGCAAGCATTAGACGAAGCATTTGCCCTTTTACGATTGGATTCTGCGGATCATCTACAAATGCGCTGCCTCGTACCCTGGCTCCTCCTCCGCCTAAAACGCGACCAAGACTGCTACAACTTCTGCAAGTGGTGGGTCACAAGAGGGACCGACGAAGAACACGACTGGACATCCGAACATCTACCTCTTACCGGCGAAGACGCGTTTGAATCGGCTGAAGTCTTCGAGCGACTCAGAGAACCCGGGTCTACGGTTGCTGCGTCCGAGTCGTTCACGTTCCTCCTCGCCATCTTACTAGTCAAGCTACGCATGGTCTACGAGATGAAATTCCAGAAACACGGTAAAACTTCCACCGAGGTGAAAGATAGCAAAAGCACCATCATCCTCTCCATCATCGACAGCCGCGAGAAAGAAGAGTGGATACCGGTTATCCAAACGGTGGAAGACCAGGTCAGAACGCTATACCGTGCTGTTGCGGGAGCGAACAAACACTTTTGGCCTGCGTTCCTCAATCGAGCTGATGATGGCCTGGAGGATACACCGCCGTTATCGGCTGGTGTGGGCGATGAGGCGGAGATGAAGATTAAGTTGAGGGAGTGTATGAATGCTTGGTTGGAGAGTCTGGGGGCTGAGGGGTTGATTTCGGATATGGAGGGGGGTATGGATCATGAGCCTTGGTGGTGCTCTAATAGGGAATAGAGCTTTAGATTCTGTGTATAACTCCTTATGACTAACTCAGTTCCAATTTGTCGGGGGTCTACCACAGCGGTACTTGAGCCACGTCACGTCACGTCACGTCACATCACAGTACAAAACATGCATACAGACAAGTCGTCCGATCTCGGCGTCGAGCATAGCCGCCCATGTATCATGCAGTTGGAATGTGACAGATGCTGGCGGACATGCATGATGCATATACGAAGCATGTCACAGCGCATGCTGCGACGTTCACGTGAGGTGCTGGCTAGGGTCGAGATGTGTTTGCTGGATGTGACGTGCTGTGTGCATGCTCTTGAGGGAATCATTCGAGATACATACGATGCGTCTGCGGGGCGTGGAGAGAATGAGGTGGTGGTTTGGTATTAACATTACTGAGGTTATTGTACGTCTATAGTCGTGAGGGAATAGGTATGTAGGTATGCCTGAATTGGCGAATGGAACTCCTTCCTGCGCCTTTCCTTATGCATGTGTTTGGGACTGTTGTGTGTCTGGAGTCCGTACTGTCGTCTCAGGGTAGGCGGTAGAAGCCTGACTCCGTCGGGGCGCAACAAGCCGAAGACTTCATACCCTCCAACACGCGGCCATGTTCCCAGGGCACCCAGTCAAAGCAGAGCTTCGACGCCCCTCACCAGACCCCGTCATCTCCAGGATATCCTCTCTAATCCATTCCGCTTGTATCCCTATAACTCCATCATCCCCCGCCCATTGTTCATAGCACCCGCACCCGCACCCAGCGGCCCATTCGGCGTAACCCCTGTATCGATACCCCCGGATTTAGGTACTGAGTTACTCGAAAGCGAATCGTGGTTGCCGGATAGGTAGTAAAACATGCGGTTTGCGATGATGGTCAGGTGCTCGGGGAGGTACAGCGACGCGGCGATTATGAGGAGGGAGAGGAGGAGGAAGAGTACGGAGTCTGTAGAGATAGTTCATTAGTAACTGTTTCAAATAGAACCAAAGGTCGGTGTGTGAGGAAAGCGACATGGATAGGGGCGGTGGCTCATCTCCAAGAATCGAGTTGAGAATGCGATTTGATGCGGTAAAACAGGGTATTCAAGACGTACTGAAGATGAACTTCTCAGTCGACGTCAACATGTATAGCGAGAAGGTGACTTCATATTGATAGCGCTTGCGCTGGAACCAGCGGAGGAGGGCGGATGGGTACAGCATTGCGGCGACGAGGAGCGTGGATGCGCTGGCTAGGAGGAGGATGGCGGATAGCGTCGTCCTGTCAATCATAGACTTTGCGGTATGCGTCGTTGTGTTTGCGCGTGCGAAAAGGCGTGTATAGAGGCGCAAATGTCAGGAGCGGTAGATGACGGGGGAGATGAAGGGTTCAGGGACGAGATTCGGAGCAGGGGTGGTCGATTAGCTGATTGCGATCGCTCCCGAGTAATCTAGCGCATTCGCTGAACAGCATCATCGACGACCACGAGTGCGAGAAGCTTCTATACGGAACCAGCGATGCCAATGCTGTTGCAATGCCTCCGCCATGCCGTCCTCCTCCCTAAAACACACCCAACAATGCGCCTCCTCCCCGCCCTCCGCTTCCGCCCCAATGTCCCACGCCTCCAAACCGCTTCCCTCTCCACCTCTCCCTCCCTCCTCAATGGCAAATCCCTCCCGCCCCGCACCCCCCTCCTCGACGCGGACCTAATCGAAAACTTCCTCAAAGGCTCCGGCCCTGGCGGCCAGAAAATCAACAAAACCTCCTCCGCCGTTCAACTCAAACATATCCCCACTGGTATCGTAGTCAAGTACCAGGATACGCGGTCAAGAGAGATAAACCGGAAGATGGCGAGGCGGATTCTGCAGGAAAGGATTGAGGAGATGGAGTTGGGGGAGGGGGCGCGGACGAAGGTCAAGGCGAGGGAGAAGGCGAAGAAGAAGGCTAGTAGTGGGAAGAAGGCTAGGAGGAAGTATAGGGCGTTGGCAGGGGAGAAGGATGGGGAGGATGGTGGTGAAGAGGGGAAGACTGGGGAGGTAGTTGATGGATTGGAATTGGGGGAAGGGGCTGAGGAAAAGGTTGAGGGTGCTGATAATAGTAAGACGGTGGGCGGTTGATGATATTCTTGGTCCACGGCTACGATACCAAACACCAAGTGTGCACCATTGTGCTAAGAGCATCGACAATGAACGGTATATTGGCACGGAGAAGGACAGCCGCCAAGCGTGTTCCGCGCGACAAGACGCCAAGCCCTGGGGATATGGCGACGATACATGTAGAAGTTGTACGACTCAGGGACGGCGACACTTGCAAGCGAGGGAGCAGTGGAAGAAACGGGGACAGGTGAACGCCGCGTCACTCTGATATGGTCTTCACTCGCATTTTGACTTGAAAACTGCGAATGGACTAGCGCAAGGCCTCTCCGCTGTTTCGATCACGCCTTTCCAAGGTTGCCTTGAGCGCGACTTCCCCGTTGTCGTATGTACTCACCTGTCTCGATATACCCTGCTATTCTATACCAGCTTCTCCAGTTCCAATCTCAACATGAGGCTGCTCAGCAATGTTGCGTCCCGCCGCTTCGCTGATATCACAACGACCCAAAAGCTCTCAAGCACTTTCAATGGCTTTATGACAAGGCCTGGCGCGAATCTCAACATCGGCGCCCACGGTGGAGGCCCTCGGAATCGCAACTTCAGTACATCCAACAAAGCACTTGGTGGTTTCGCATTCAACCCGTTCACCAAGACACTTCCGTTCCGCAAGCCACTTCCGTTCTTCAGCGCAAAGTGCCTCGGAATCAAAGACGCAGACTTCGCATGGTTCACGGCCCTCAACGTCGCTGTCCGTACCCACAGGAACAGAGTCTACCTGTCACATCCCGACGGCACCCCGCGTCTCGTTTTGCATGACTACCAACACACCCTGCGTGTCGTCGCCGACGCCGAGTGGATTCTGCGGAAAGAACAGAGGACGCATCAATGGGCTCGGGACATTGATTCCACACTCCTGTGGGTATTATGCATGACGCACGACATCACCCACGATATGAGCGACGCATGGTATCTCTCCTCAGACGAGAAGCAGAATCAATGGCAAATCGTACGCGAGTTCACGAGGGCAGCGGGATGCCCGCCCAACATCATTTGGCAGGCGTCTTGTCTCGCTGCCCGCCTCTCGGGTAGTATTCAATTTGATGAGCAACGGTTCACCGTTACCAATTTCTCTCACGAGCAGCCCATCCACCGCGTCTTACGTGATGCATATCACCTCCAACGACTGGGCGCTGTGGGCGTGGCTCGATATTTCTATTTCCATGGTATGGATGAATTATACAGGGAGCCTGGGGTTGGTTTTGATGTCAGTTGTCTGCGGCATATGCACGGCGGGCAGTACGTCGAGCGGTTCACGACAGAGACCGGGGCGGAAATGGCGCACCAGCGGTATATGTGGACGACACACAAGTTTCTGAATGGGTGGGATGCTGAGAATGATGTGGGCTCTGTTGTGACGGGGCGAGGGTTCAGGTAGTGCTGGATTTGTGGTGGTTCTAGTAGTATACACGGGGATGCATGGATTACTTCTCCTTCGAAAGAGCAAGATAGGCTTGACTTTCCGCGGCAATAAGACTCCTCTCCTGACTCTTCTCCTGTTTAGTCCTCTTCTTGCGCGTGAACAACCTCGCAATCTGACTCCACAATCTCACCCTCTCTTCCCTCTCCCCGTCCTCCTCCTCCCTCGCCATATCGTTCGCCTTTCTGTCCACCTTATCAAATGTCCCCCTCGCCGTCGCCCCATGCGCCTTCAACAACCTCACCACCTCCTCTTTCTTCTCCGGCACCCTACAACCCCCCCCCCCCTCTCTATAAGATCCAAAATGGGTAAGTCAAGACACCTCCACTCATCGGCCACATGTCCCAGCTCCTCCAGACAATACCTCACCAGCTCGACATCGCCCGCCACTGCCACCGCTGCTAACCCCACTACATCGCTTTCAATTCTGCAACACCAATCTCTCGTCTGCTCCTTACTCTACGGAGATTTTGAAGAGGGACAGACCGGATGAGACGGCGAGGTCGTGTGGTTGAGCGGGACAGTCTGGGCAAGCGTGTAAGACGCGTGTTGCGACCATTATTTTCTCGGCTCCGTCTGCACTCTTTATGATGGTTAAAGATTTGAATGGAATCTGTTCAAAGTCAATTACTGCCTATCCGATAAGTCCAGACACTTCAAATCAGCGGGCCTGGCATCGTCTTGCCATCTGCTACAGCATGCACAATCCCATCACCCAAGCTCCGATCTCTAACACCAAAGCCAAACCCAACAGCATTCTCATCCGCGTACAAACCCAAACCCCTCCCCCAAACCCATCGCCAAGCCCCTCCCAACCCATCGCAATGTTGTCAAAGCCATGCAAGCTTCGTATTCCTCGCATGCCGCAACTCCCTTACTCAGATCTCTTACTGCCAAAAATAGCATGCGCGCAGGGCCGCCCAGCGTCGCTTCCAGCCGTTAGGGCCGCAACGGTAACCCACAAAGAGCTTACTGCTACCCCACCGCAATAACCGTAAAGTCATGCCTTGGAAGGCCTGATCGCAAGGTGTTGCCGGGAAACGGTACGGTCGTGTTGATAGCCTGTGATTAGTATATGTTTTGGGGGGCGAGGGATGGAGATGCGCGAGGGTGACGGGGGGACACAGACGTCATTTCCTTATGCGGTCTGACCGGAGCTTTGCATTCAGGATACCCCTTCTAACGCGACCGACGCAACCTTTTCTTTCTTTACCGCGCAATCCCATTAGGCTTTCCCATTGTCGCATGTTTCCCCAATGCAACCCTACGCCGCACACGTCTCTCGTACGAAATCCAAGGACCCGTTGAGCGGCGAAATTGCTTTTCGTCACGAGCGCCCGCCGTTTAGGCCTCTGCGTAGTAAGCTCGTATTAGGACCGACCGGGCACACAGCTGTCCTAAGATCGACACCAGGGTACACTGCGCAGTGGATCTTAGAGCGTAGAATGAGTTTTCGTTCGTGTTGAGTGGAGCGGTGCGAGGTCGTGTTAGTGGTGTTGAGGCCGTGCGGCTGCTGCAGGTACGGGAGGATGTGCAGCGAAGGAGGCAAATGTTCTCGTATTGGTTGTGGTCTTAAGAGGGCCAATTTGCCCTTGTGTATAGGCCTCACTCTACTTACTCTATAGGCCTTGGTCGTGGTCTTTGCTTTTCCACGCTCGTTTATTAGGGTAAGCTTACCTTGTCGGTCCGTTCGTTTGGTCCTTCTGATTCCGGTCGTTTGGGGTATACTACGCTCTTTCCTGGTTAACTTCGTCGACTGAACTCGGATCATTATCTTCAACGTCGCGATGAAGTTCCTCGTTTCTCTTACTGCAGGCCTGCTGTCCATTGGTGTGGCATCCGCCTCGCCAGCTGCGCCGCTGAACAAGAGAGCTGTCTCAACCGACGGAAGCTGCGGAGGAACAAAAGGCTTCACTTGCAAGGGTTCCTCGTACGGCGACTGCTGCTCTCAGTATGGATGGTGTGGGAAATCCGCGGATCATTGCGGAGCTACCTGCAACTCAGCATTCGGCACATGCACTGGCAGCACTACATCAAAAGCAACTCCAGTAACGGTCAAGACTTCGTCGACACAGGCCCCACCGCCGGCGTCAACACCGACTAAGAAGGTCTCACCAGATGCGACATGTGGTGGCACAAAGGGTTACACATGTCTGGGTTTTGCTGAAGGCAACTGCTGCAGCGCGAGTGGATGGTGCGGTTCAACATCTGCATACGTGAGTACCCGCCTACGCTTTGAATGACTATATACTGATTTTAGCAGTGTGGAACTGGATGCCAGTCGGGCTTCGGAAACTGTGGCAGCAACACCGGATCGGGATCTACTACTAGCAAGTCTTCTTCAGCTGCACCATCGTCAACCCCATCTGGATCTGCTCTTCAATGCTTGAACGGAAAAGATGTGCCCTACAAGATGACCTCGGATGCTGAGTACTCTGAGCTCTCAGAGCCCTACAACTTGCGCGTTCCGTTCAAGCCGGCTGTCATCGTTCTTCCTACCACCAACCAGCACGTTCAAGATGCAGTAGTATGCGCTGCTCAAGCTGGTCTCAAGGTTCAGGCCAAGTCGGGTGGTCACTCTTACGCAAGCTTCAGCTCCGGTGGTAAGGACGGCGCTATGCAGATCAACCTCCAGTCTTTCCAGACCATCCAACTCGACAAGAGCTCTGGTATTGCGACAGTTGGAGGAGGTGTTCGCCTGGGCAATCTAGGTGACGGTATCTACACTCAAGGCAATGCTGCCGTAGCCCAGGGTACCTGCCCTGGTGTCGGTATCGGAGGCCACTACACACACGGCGGCTACGGTCACACTTCCCGCCACTGGGGATTAGCCATGGACCAAGTCGTTGGAGCCGACGTCGTCCTCGCCGATGGATCTCTCATCAAAGCCTCATCCACAGAATCCCCCGACATCTTCTGGGCCATCAAGGGCGCAGCCGAGTCCTTCGGTGTCGTCACAAAGTTCTACCTCCAGACGCACGCCGCACCCGCCAGCATCACATACTTCGAGTTCGGCTTCACCGGCATCCACGACTCCAAGAGCGTGTGGACAAACACCTTCATGCACATTCAGGACGTCGCGAAGAACGCGTCCGTCGTCGACAACCGCGTCTCCTTCGGCATCTACCTCGACAACTACGGCGGCTACAGCCTCAGCGGCGCCTTCTTCGGCAGCGTCTCGGAATTCAACGCACAAGTCAAGCCCGAGCTGCTCCGCAGCCTCCCCAACCCCACCGCTACCGTCCAGTCCATGGCCTGGTACGACTACATGGTCAAAGTCTCCGGCAAGACCAGCATCAAAGAGCCGCTGACCGGGTACGACGAGCACGAGGACTTCTTCGCCAAGTCCGTCACCGTCCCTGAATCTACGGGTCTTACTTCCAACGCTCTGGATGCGCTGTACGATTACCTACAGACAGCCGACGGGACGGAATACTACGTCATCATCAACCTCTACGGCGGCCCTGGCTCTGCTATCAACAGCAAAGACACTGAGTTTGCTGCCTACAGCGATAGGGATAGTCTGTGGGTGCTGCAGAACTATGGCTATGGAGGTGATTCCATGGAGTTTATTAATGGCATTAATAGTGCTATTATCGATGCGCAGCCGCAGACGTCGTTTGGCGCGTATTTGAACTATGTTGATCCTAGTTATGATGCTGCGACGGCGCATAAGCTGTATTATGGCGATGCGGTGTATGATAGGTTGGCGGCGCTGAAGCAAAAGGTTGATCCGAAGAGTGTGTTCTGGAATCCTCAGGCTATTGGTGCGTAGGAGATGGGGTGGTTGATGGATGGGTGATAGGTGTTTGGGCGTTTTTGCATGGGAAGAGCTCCTCATGTATGTTGGGTCATGTGTACTGTTTATGATTTATTTAGTAATGATACTATTGCAACACTTGCGATCCCGTCTATATGCTGCTATATGAATGTCTATAAATAGTCGCACTATGCTAGTGAGGTTCAAATCGTGTGCCATCTCGCACAGCAGCGCACACTGAGATTTTATTGTTCATGCTGCAGTGCAAAAAGGGAAAGCGGTAAAGACAGTGTGTTGTTTAGTATGAATCTATAGATATAGATGGAAAAGAAAGAATCAAGGTCAGTCCATCTCGCTAATCACACAAGGCAATGGATGTTGAATCCCGCACCGCCCCCCTCAAACCACCTCAAACCACCTAACAAAAGCTTCCACCGTTCGACACAGTGTACCCATAGCCAGCCTTGAACTGGGGGAAAGAATAATACCCCTCCACATCAGAGCCGCACGCACCCGCAATCTTGCCGTAAAGCGTGGCCATCATATCCTTGTTGCAGCCCTGATCCCCGCCGTAGGAGCAGCCATACGCAACGACGCCGTTGTAGTAAAAGGCTTTGGAGCGACCGGACCACTTGGTGCCGCCGCCGCAGAAGTTGATCCATTGGTTCGAGGCTTGCTGGATGTCGGATGTGCTGAGCTTTCTGCTGCCGCAGCCTGGACCTTCGTTGTCGCGGGCGAGAAGGTTACGCGCGTGGTAGGCGGAGGTAGAGTCGGCGGTGTCGGCGAGGGTGAAGTTAGGGTGGGCGACGTCGACGAGGGTGAAGTGTGTAGTGCCGTCTTCGTTGAGGTCGACGTCGTACATGCCGTTGGGGAGTCCGGCGGCGGGGATGGTGTAAAGGCCCTTGGCCTCCGGCTGGGGAGCTGGCATTGCGGCGCTGAGAGTGGCTGAGAGGAGAGCCGCGAGGATGAGACTGTAGTGAACCATGGTGACGGTTCTGGAGAGATTGATGAGGAGTTGAGCAAGCTAAGTGAGAAGCTGATTGAGATGAGAGAAACTGTTGGTTTTGGAGTGTGTTTGTTGAAGCTGTTGGAGCTGTTGGGTTTATGGTCAAAGATTGAGCCTTCTTATACCTTTCCAGACGCTCTTAACAGAGCCATAAAGGCTCATCAGATGACGAGGACGTGAGGTTGTGGTAAATCTCCTATTCTGTTCATCTTCGGAGTCTTCGTGTACGCACGATCATCTTCGTGTCGCAACGTGGTCGACATTGTGAACCGGTGCCCTCTGTATATCAGTCAGTAGGTAGCTATAGATAGTCGAGTTGGTCATCTACCCAGACTCTCTCAGCCCATGAGCTATGAAGACTAATTGGGTAGGCTGAGGAGGCGTCGCCAAGCACTTCCAAGCTTTCAGCACACCTTGGCAGACTGGACGCAATATGGGGGTGTAACTCTCCTAGAACAATGATTGGCTTGTGTGATCTTTACCCAGAGCTAGGTACCGATCGAGAAAGAGTAAGCAGAGACCCGCGTGCCTGTATTAGCCTTGCCCAGGTGCCAAGCTACCTAAGCTTACCGCGCGATCTCCGTACGAGGACATAGAGCGACAGCAATTTGCAAAAGCGATGATTTTATCAATGGAAGTGGTAGATGTCTACTTCTGCGAGGTGACTGCGGCTTCATTTATCCAGCTGCGGGGAGGGTTTGGGCAGCCCCACCTGACGTATGTAGCTTAGCGCTACCGTATCTACGGTATGCCCATCCCAAAGATCAGCCTTGCGCCAAAATGAGAGGTTCTACAAAGTTTTTCGGGTTGCCCTCAATTCACGTCGTTGATAGCGCGAGACATTTATGGAAACCTTCCTGCCCCAGTTCGACGAAGCCTGCATCGAGAACGAGACCAATGGGAAGGATCTGTATCCCGGCTTCAACTCGACAGTGTTGCTTCATGCCTGCTATAAGTCCCAACGGATGGTGCTGACAGCATCTCATACGTTCCTGGCATTCGATCAGGGTGCGTCAAATGATGGTATTGGTGAAATGGCCATAAGTCGACTCTACTTCTCAAAGGTGTGACATTGCTGCATCAATCCCCCGTCTTAGCCACAGCTCCATCTGCTTTCACCGGCTGATCATGAAGCTCATGGACAGTATTAGCTTCCATCTCGTACCTCGACGGCAAGACCCCAGGCGCAATCGCCGGCTTATCTTCCAGCTCCCCTCCCAACTGCTCAAACCCCTTCCCATGCGGCTGACCCATCTCCAGTATATGATTCGACGGCACTTCGTACACATCCCCGTTAGCATCATGGCCATCTCTGTCGGGATCATACTGTTCAGTTTCGGTAGCTGGTGATTGGTGTGACACTCTTCTCCTCTTTCTTTGAAGGCGGCGAAAGAGCAGCCAGCTAGCTGCTATTCCAAGGGCAAGCGTGACAGGTATGGCTATGCCGAGACCGATCTTATGGCCTAGGCGGAAGTCGTTGTGCATGTGCTGGTGGATGTTTTGGTCGTGAGAATTCGACGGGTCTGCGATGGTGCTTGTTGGAGTGTTTGTGGTAGAGCTTGTCGGTGTACTCGTTGAACCTGTACCCGATTCCGTACCTGGCGTGCCGGATACTCTTGACGCCGACGTTGAAGCCGACGCTGAAGCTGCAGTTGACAATCCTTCCGGTGACCAAAACGACCGCGTCGGCGTCGTAGAAGAACCCACCGCCTCAGACGACGCACCACTCCCCGCGATAAACCCATCCACAATATTAAAATACTGACTAGTATCCGAATCCCCATCGACCGAAAAAACACTAAGAAAAAACAGCGTCGACTCCTCTAGCCTCGCGTTCGTCTTGACATTCCACAGGTAACTCGTTCTATTCACGATACTGGCTGGGTCCACACGTTAGCTTCTCTTCTGTAGGTAAAGCCACGGAATAAGTGTTTTTCATACGCATGATGAATTCGCCGTCGCCGGTCTGGTCTTGGCCGAGGGTTTTGACTTGGTGCAAGACTAAATCGTAGGGCCCCGTTTCGTCGCCGGGATACCATTGGATGTTTATGGTGTAGTCTTGCTTGTAGGTGGGCGGGTTGCTTAGGCCGCCGTCTGTGCCGTGGGTTGGGGGGTTGATGAATTGGATGCCGAGACTGGATACAAGTGGGGATAGTATGGCTAGCAAAGCATATGCTTTTAGACAAGTCATATCCAACTGGATCGTCGCCAATGATTAGATGATTGCGAGATTGATGATTCCGTAGCAGTACTTGAGTGGAACGAGTGATGGTAAACAGCGAGTGACAAGAAACACACGCTGAATGAGATGAGAAGCTGGCAACTGTGCGAAGCAATCGCACGCAATATCATGGCTCAGAATCCGCTCCCCTCATTCCTCTTGTTCCAGCAGCGAGAGGCGTAGGGTGCAACACCGCCTTGCCACGATGCGCCCCTCGTGCTGAAACTTCTTTGTACTCATCGGTTTTGGGTGTCAGCCTAGGGTCGACTTGATGCAGCCGGCATGATAACTGAAGCAAGCCATAAAATACCGGAGCATGAATACGAGAAGTACATGTAAGTCTGTTCGGGGCCGACAGATGTTCGCACGGGTCCAACAGTTGAAAGGGTCCCCAACATTAGCCGTGATCTTAGATCATCAACCCCAACAGACCCATGTATCAGCGCTACCGTGCCACATCAAGCGAGATGTGATAACAGAAAGTTAAGCGCCACACCCAGCGCTCCGTGAAAATAGAATGCGTGCAGCCGCCCCTAAAGTCTGTGAGCTGCAGGTACCGGTCTCACTGCGGCGTTCGCCCACCATTTGTATAAGGATCGCCCCTCCGTGGCGCTTTGCGATCTCGTGCCCTCCTCTTTGTCCTTCCCCCTTTGTTAGTTTTTCCCACCATGTCACTGTCGCTACCCAAAGTCTTCAATCATTACACACTGATCGCGCTGTGCACATTAGCGTTGGTTTACCACTTTCTCTCCATTCAAGATCACTTCACTGTCCGTGCGCCGGGTACGCCCGCGATAGCGCAGCCACCGCAAAACGGCGGATTTCCTAAACGCATTTGGTACAAGTTGGGCCCTAGTGGCCTTTCTGAAGAGACGCGGGCCTGGACCGATAGCTGTGTGAATAGCAATCCTGACTACCAAGCACACTTCTTGACGGACGACGACGGCGATGAGTACGTTCGTAAGACCTTTGCGGAATCCCGACCGGATATCGTCGATGCATACCTCGCTCTACCCGTCCCCATCTACAAAGCCGACATGCTGCGCTATGTCTTGCTGTGGAACGAAGGCGGAATCTGGTCTGACCTAGACGTCTCCTGCGAAGAAGGCGTATCCATGGATGAATGGGTGCCAGCCGCATACCAGGGAATCGCCTCGCTAGTCGTAGGCTGGGAGTTCGATCAAGGCTGGCCCGGCGAATATGTCCGCGAATTCGCCAGCTGGACGATAATGGCTAAACCGCGATCGCCACACATGATGCAGGTCATCGACGATATCCTTCAGACACTGCGAGACAAGACGAAGGAGCACAACATCCCGATCCAGAACGCGACAATGGATGTCATGGGGGATGTCGTTGATTTTACTGGTCCCAGGCGCTTGACGCGCAGTGTGTACACGAGCTTGGGGAAGATACTTGATAGGGAGATTGACGCGCGCGATATGATGGAGCTTGTGCAGCCGAAGCTGGTGGGCGATGTTTTGGTCATGCCGGGTCGGTCGTTTGCAGCGTCGGCGAATACGTATAAACCGGAAGAAGAAGAACTTTTGCCGCCGAAGCTGGTTACGCATCACTACGCTGGGACGTGGAAGAACGACAATGGGGGCGAGCAATAGAAGAAGAACAATTTGGAAGTCTTCGGAAGAACACCAGAAACGCATCAATGAGCATGGTCGTGGAGTGATGGAGACGATACCATTACGCTGCCTGATCATGAGATATGTCCTTATCGTCGATTTGTTACATGCTTTTCCAGGGTTCCACCGCCGTCTCCAACACCGGTGTCGTATTCGAACGGCAGGCACGACATGATACGTGACCATATCGGCCGCGTTGATAGACTTCCGCATTCTGGCTGTAACAAGTCCTCTCTCGGTACTGAGGCTTGACCGCCGTGACAACTTCGTACCGAACAACCATCCCAATCCTCTCACCAGGGGCGACAACACTTGCAGTGACCGGCACAGCCACGCTTTTCGAAGCGTCCATTATACCGATAGTTCAAGTGCCTTGGACCTCGGTAGCAACTAAAGACAATAACGTTCTCCCTGGCGAGATTTGCGTAGATCTCTAAGCCAGCCTTCAATGGGTGCCACTTGCCTCCGTCGATCCTTGCAGCTTCGTAGCGGGCTTCACGGTTGACGAAGAAGAGTGAAGGGTAGCCTCGGAGGCTTTGTGCGATGACCTCGTCCTCCTGGTGAATGCGGATCTCATCGGTGAAGTGAACTTCGTCCCTGTCAACATATTCTATCTGGCTGTGTAGCGCGATAGCCCATACCCTGGCGCGAAGCTCGGCGGGCAGACGTGGGAAAGGGTGGAAGGTCTGCGTAGTGGGCGTTTTCGACCATTGGGACGGCCGAGAGAATCGTTCTAGCAGTACCACTGTATCGTCATCCGAATCGCTCTCAAGGCCATACTGTGTCGACATGATGTTGACGAAGATGTATCGTTGGGGAGGCGGGTGGAATAGCGAAGGTGGTCTGTCCGCAGATGGAGGCGCTGGTTGATTGCTCTTGAGCGAAGACAATGGAAACCCGAAGAGTCGTAGAAAGTGTAGAGAATGCGAAAGCTTACGTAGCGAAATTATCCCCCCAACGGCCAAGGCAGACGCGTTTGCTTGGTGTTGACGTGACGCCAAGCCTTACCTAGTATTTCACCATGGACCTTGAGGTGCGCCTTTCCAGCGTACCACAGACGGATCGAAATCATCTGGGGCAATGATAATGCCGTTTTTTCAGCGCTGAGTTCGAGATGACTGTCTAGCTCTTCGTGTTCGCCATCAAATTCAATTGATCAAGGAGCTTCTTGAGTGCCTTCCTCACCCATCGTGAAGTGTCGCAATTGAGGCCCAAGAGCAGGTCAATGGGTAATCATACCACGCAGACCGTTCTCCATCAAGTAGGCACCAAACCAGGCAAAAGCATAGGAAGCTGTGCATCTCAACCGTGAAGTGAAGAAACGTTGGTGTCCTCCCCCCAACACCTGCTGACAAGCCCACCCGCAAAATCCCGCGCTCCCTGATTCGTCCACCTTTTCCCAGCGCCGCCAAGCCCAGCATTCCCGCGCTTTCTCTGCCGCCATCAACCTCACCAGACATCACGCCAGACCACACCCTTCCACCCGCGTTTAAACCCCCAACGAACTCGCCAAAGATGTCTGTTTCATCCTTCGGCCACCACGGCAAGACGCCCGCTGCTGTCGTAAGTCACGTCCCGTGCAATTGGAGGCGAAAAGGTGGAAGTTGGTTGCGATGACGGAAGAAGCTAATATGTGGGAATAGAGCATGCGCAGCCCGTACAAGGCTTACAGGAGTCCTTTTGGTCCTCAGTATGTATTTTCCGATATTAACAAGGCTGTGGGAGGGGCGGTGAAAGGGTTGGGATTGGGTTGGGGGTTGTTGGGAAGGTGTGGGAAGAGGAGGATGGCTTGCGACGCCTCGATAGACAGCGGGATAGGCAATTGGATGCCACGCATACGCTCGAGATGCGCATAGAAAAGAGGAGAAACAACCCAGCCCACAGCCGCGCCGCCCTACCCGATCCACGCCCATCGCAACCTCGAAGCTCCAGACGCTAACATACAACCACAGATACACCATCCCCAAGAACTACCACGGCCTTACCCTCAAGCAAGCCGCGAAATAGTATGTCTCCCCCCATTCCTCCTCTCCTCCACCCATCCAACACAAACTAACCCCATCCCAGCGGTGGCCTCGCCGCCGGCTTCGGCGGTGTAGCCGGTTTCTTCGCCCTCTTCTTCTTCGCCGAAGTCCCCAAGGTGCGCGACGACATCATGAAGAAGATTCCTATCCTGGACAAGTTCTTCACGGTTGAGATACCGCCTGAGGATAACCCTTTCTGAGCTCTTTGTTTACGAGGATGCATGGACTGTATAATATGGGGACAATTGGCATTGCAGACAGGGAAATAGACCGCTTTTGTCTTTGTTGATATATTGCATATTGCTCGGGGTGACTGTGTTTGTGATGATGTGGCGCGTACTTATGGCTTGAATATGTTAAAGGCTTGATACGTGGTTTATCGTATCTTGATCCATGATCTGCTCGATTGCCAGACATCACCACAAGCTCGTTGATCCCGTATAATAACTCGCCACTCAAATCTCCAAGTTGTTTGGTCATTGCTTCATTTTCGCGTGACTCGCACATCTATCAAGATGCTATCATATGCCATTCCATCTACCACTTTCCCCAGCTACCCTCTCAATCCCCCAGCAAAGCTTAGTTCGTCGGCAGCCTTCCAACAACCTCAGCCATCTCCTCATCAGTGTAGATCCTGAAGCCCTTGTCCTTGGTCACACTAGCCAACTGCACATTCTTGCTATCCAGCTTCTCCTCCATGACCTGCTTGAGCGTCTTGAGGGTAAGCACCTCGGCCTCGGGGAGCGTAAGCGACTTGTGGAATTCGTTCTGGAGTTCGGCCTGCGCGCCCTCGGAGCCGGAACCGATGGCTTTGGCATCGTAGCGGTAGAATGTGCCCGAGGGTTCGGCGTGGTAGCTGTGTGTGTTGTTAGTTTGTAATCCCAATGCCTATTCTGGTGCTAGAGATGTTGTAGGGAAAGACATGATAGGAAGATGGGAAGGAGTGACATACAGACTCGGACCATCCTCATCATAACCCGCAATCAGCAGCGCGACACCAAACGGCCGACTCATGATGCTCTCCTCACCCTCAGCACCCTCACCAAACCTCAGCGCCAAATCACATATCGCCTGCGTGCAGCTCTCAACGCGAAGTGGCTCGGCGTAGTTGAAAGCGTGGTTCTGGCTCTCGACACGCGCGTGCTCGATCATGCTGCGGGCATCGGCTTGCAGACCCGACATGGCACATCCAATGTGGCGGTCGATTTCGACAATCTTCTCTACGGAGCTGGTTTCGAGGAGCGTCGAGGTGACGCGCTTCTCTACGCCGAGGATTACGCCTTCGCCTGTTGCGACCTGTGTGGTGTGAGTTTGGGGATTTGCCGGTGTGATGGGGAGGGGTGATGTAGGGACGTACGCCTATTGCTGTTGAACCGAGCTTGATGGCTTCGAGCGAGTATTCGACTTGGAAGAGACGGCCTTCGGGCGAGAAGGTGCTGTGGGTTTGTGAGCGGGCGGGCTTGTAGTGGAAGGCGCGGGGTGGACGAACTTGATACCACGGTCTGGAGGTTTAGTTAGTATAGATTCTACTGTATAATTGCTCTGGGAAGCTTACCATATTCGCTTCGTGCTATGAACTGCTCATGTTAGTACAAGAGCTCCAGCGGGGTTCAATGAGGCGTACCATGGCGGCGAATTGTGCGGAAGTGTAGTTGAGGTGTGTGGTGAGAGTTCCGAGTGCTTCTCGAACAGGGAAGTCGAGGTCTGGGAAGTGTAGGCGGCGGTGAGGTGTTGCGGAGTTGTGTTGGCGGCTTGGATGTTTCTCTAGCTATGGAGAGCTTCAGGCAACACGAGCCGCGCGCTAGGGCGGGATGCCAAGACTTCCATCTGATATTCATCATCACTTTCTTAACACAACTAGCAAATACATCTAAGTCTGCAGTCACAATGTTGCGCGGATCTCCGGAAGTTGACACCTAACAAGCTATGGTGGATTTTCGCAATCGCATCCATCGACTGCCCTCTATCGCGACATTGTTTGCCGCCAACTTCAAGTAAATCCTCAAAAAGTAGCTCATGCTTTTCTGTCACGAAGTGATATTGCGCACGAGGTATCGTTAAGAAAGGGCTCTATTTCCGGAAGCGTCCTCGCATTCGAACAATCAATTCGCTACCGCGTTCTGCGCACCTTTTGGCAATACTCATGGATTGCCGCAATGGTAGTACACAGATGCTGCTGAGCTTTAGAGTTGATGTACTCGTGGTGCTACACATGACTGAACCATGTGTATCGCAGTCAAGTCTCACCAAATTTATGCTGTCTGCTTTATCGGAGTACTCTTGGTCGTACACGCCAGAAGGTAAGATGAGGAGGCATCTCAGTACCAGTCGTACAGCCAGGTAAAGTCAAGTGGCTATGCTGATACTCAGCTTAACGTCAACGCGGGTAACTGCTCATGCCAGAATCATATCGTCCATAATCTCGGGAGCTTTGCGCTGGGTACCGTGCGCGTGGCTAGATTCCCGATAGAACACAGGGATATTTGCAAGCGACCACACAGCCACGATACCGACCCGTTATCTTCTAAACTCGTCGTCGTCGCAGAGTGCTCCGAGTGCCTCATCGATTAACCAAGCTTCCATCGACATATCGAAGCTGTGGTAGGGGTAAAGCTTAGCGTACCGGTTCGTGACATTTGCGCATGGCGCCGGGACGAAACGCCTTCCAAGACACCAAACCGCTGGAGTAATTCTCCGCATCCTCTACCTTTCCAACATCAACTTCGCTTCTTCGCCCGAACTTCAAATTCTTGCCTCCCGCATCCGCGGATCAGAAGCCGATGATGCGCGTCATAGCTCGGATCGAAAGTGCCTGGCGTCGGCACCGTTTCTCCTGAGTTCGGACCAGCAGCGCTATCCACGTCACCATATTCTGGAATCTCGGCCTGCGACCATGATGGATGATGCACCAGGTGTCTGTTGGGGTTTCGAGTGGTAATGTTCAGTGTGTGTTCCATGGGAGAGCGAAGGCAGCTGAACCATGAGTGCGAATCCCGTGATGCCACGGTTGCCTGTTTCTAGGGGTAGAAATTTCGCGCGTGGATGATGCATCTGGTGCTGTCAACAACGAGATCACAACCACGGTAGTGCGCGACCCCAACGGATCACACGAGGACATGTGTCTACCAGACACTCGCATGAGGGTGTCGCACTCGTGTTAATGAAGGGACTAATGACTTCTGCAGCCACACAGATGTCGACGATTTCGATAAACCCGCGTGTGCCCTGTTGCACGCTCATCATGAGATGTGCAGCTCATCTCCCGCGGCGGGGATGATGTCGATGCTGGGTTATTTTTATCCGGATACGACCCTATACCGGGGCTTGACGTCGCTGTCTGGCCGTTGAGTATTGCTTCTCCACATGGGCCAATGATTAGCGAGGACGGGGCAGAAGGGTCGGTCCCTGTCTTGCCGCATCGGGCCTTCTAGAATGCTTGGTGAGCTTCAACCGTCGACGACTGCGATGAAAGCAGCAACGAGCGAAGGATGAGAATGTTGGGGATGGCATGAACAGGCTGTTGTTGAAGAGCCTGCATGCCAAGATTGCTTGACCAGGCTTCAGGGTTGGGATCACCGCCGGCATCCGCGTTCCTGCGTGCCTGCTCGTTCGAGAAGGCACTAATTAGCTGTGACCGTGCGGCTAATGCACGTCCGATGAATAGCCTTCAGACGGCAGCGACGTCTAGATCCAGCAAAACGTCACCGGTGAATAAATACTTCGCTGCGTCCTGCTCACCATTCCTCGCCCACGCCGCTCTCTCGCACCCTTCTCCCTTCTCAAGACCTCATTCTACGTTTTTAATATCGTCTTCTTCCTCCTAATACCGCCACCATGCGCGTCTCCTCCACCCTCCTCGCCGCTGCAGGCCTCTTGACCTCGGCCAACGCTGCCATCAAGGGCTTCAACTACGGCGCCAACTTCAACAACAACCAGGCCAAGGTGCAGGCCGACTTTGAATATGAATTCAACGCCGCCAAGCAGCTTCCTGGCACCAATGGATGGACCAGCGCCCGTCTGTACACCATGATCCAGCACGGCACCCAGACCGACGTCATTGAAGCCATCCAGGCTGCTATCAACACCAAGACCGGTCTCCTCCTCGGCATGTGGGCCTCCGCCGGTCAGGCCAACTTCAACAACGAGATTACTGCTCTCAAGGCCGCCATTGCTCGGTACGGCACTGCCTTCACTGACCTCGTTGAGGGTATCTCCGTCGGCAGTGAGGATCTCTACCGTGTCACCCCCACTGGTATCGAGAACAAGTCCGGCGCCGGTGCTCAGCCGCAGGAGCTCGTCAACTACATCAAGCAGACCCGTGATGCCATCCGTGGCACTGCTCTCCAGGGCAAGCCCATCGGTCACGTCGACACCTGGACCGTCTACGTCAACGCTACCAACAACCCCGTTATTGAAGCCGTTGACTTCATCGGCATGGACGCCTACCCCTACTTCCAGACTACCATGAACAACAACGTCGGTTCAGGCAGCCAGCTCTTCTTCGACGCCTACCACCAGACTGTTGCCGCTGCCAAGGGCAAGCCCGTCTGGGTTACCGAGACCGGATGGCCCGTTAGCGGCGAGACACTCAACCAGGGTAAGCCCAGTGCGGATAATGCCCGCATCTACTGGGAGGACGTTACCTGCCAGCTCGTCAAGGACAACGTCAACTTGTGGTACTACATCCTCCAGGATGTCCAGTACGGCAACCCCGTCCCCTCGTTCGGCATCAAGCCTGCGGGTGATCTGATGCAGGTGAAGCCTCTGTTCGACCTCTCTTGCCCTGCTGGTTCCGCACCCAGCAACCCGTCCAAAAAGGTCTCCACCGATGGTACTTGCGGATCCCAGGGAGGTGCTACTTGCGCTGGCTCGCCGTTCGGTAACTGCTGCTCGCAGTACGGATGGTGCGGAAACACCGCCGGACACTGCGGTACCGGTTGCCAGAGCGGATCGGGCACTTGCACCAAGGTAAGCTAGTACCTTCTTATGCTCCTCTTGTCACCCATCCTGTCGTCGTTCCTGTATGCTCTGTCTGCGCTTCTGTCGGTTTCTTGCAATTGCCTCTGTTCCGTTCCTGCCCCGTACGGGGTTGCACGGACTAATGGCCATTGGAAGGAGCCTTCGAGCAGCAGCAGTATTGGGATGTCATCAGGCATTGGGTCGTCAAGTAAGAGGGCTGAGGAATACTTAAAGCAAACAGTCAGAAGCTAATATGTCTCAGTAAATGCTCCGACATCCCAACCCACAATCGTCACCATTCCAGTAATTAGCTTTGATCGGCCGACCCCAACAGCTCAGAGTTCAGCACCGCTTTCCGCTTCGTCCACTGGAATTGGTCTTGAGCATATCGAAGGCCTACCGCAACCAACCTTTACCCCTCTTCAAGAACCATTCGAATACCCCCACCAGCTCATCCCCATTGACAAGGCCGACCCCACCAAAGTGATCGGCAACGGATATACTGCCCTGCTATCGCCTACCATATCAACCGTCTTCGTTTACGATATCCGCGCTGAGTTCGCCGGCAAGACTTGCACCTTGGCTCTACACATGCCCCCGCCCTTTCCCATACCCGAAACAGCACCCGTTCAAATTCGCACTCCGGGTGGTATCAGCGTATCTCGCCTCGCCAACCAAGTTTCTGATACTGTTTCCATGCAGAGTGTCGGCAACTCAAGTCTTGTCGGTGTTGTACAACTCATCGAGCCTGCTCATCAATACAACGTCGCTAGCTTTCCTTGCGAAGCTGGCCAACGGGTTAGTTACCAGGTGGACTCGATCAATGGGCTTGATATGAATTGGTTCCAGATGACGTACCCTGCTCTCGGGCTGTTCATGCTGGTCAGCTAGATCGGAGGACGGCAATGTGGAGTGGTGGCAACGTGGAAGACTGGGATGTCAACTGTATTATTACGAACCTAAAAGTCCTAGATCCTTTTAATGTAATGTATACACCAAAGATACGTATCTTGTTCATGTCGTCGTGTGATGTGCTACTGAACTGTATCATATTTAACCAATGCGTTAAGTGTGAGATGGCTCAGTAGCACATTACAAGGGGATACGGGCTTGAGCGTAAACCAACCATACATGATTACCTTACATCCCGTGTAGCTAATTCAGTGAGGAAGTAGCGCAAGACGTAGCTAACCGTGAAGTGTGCCATGTAAAAAGTGAAGAACGAGGAGCGAGGAGCGTGATGCGAGATTGGGATACGAGATACGGCAGATGAAGTTAGCCTGGCCGACGGTGAGATAGATACCTAGGATCGTACCCCAACAAAACAACGCGAAGGACCTGCCTGCAGCCATCACCAATTTCCCATCACCAATTCCCCATCCAAACCTTCTACATCCAGCACCCACCATGCGCTTCACCACCCCTATCCTTATTAACCTGCTCGCGTCCCTCAACATAGCATCAGCCCAAGCATGCGACAGCGGCACAGCATGCGGATACTACGGCACACTCTGCTGTACCGGTGACGAAGTCTGCATGACAGACGCGGATAACCAGGCGGTTTGTGAGGTTCCTGCTTTGAGCAGTGAGACTCTTGTGGTTAGCGCAGATCTTACTACCATGATGCCGACGATGGTGGTTAGCTCGGATGCTGGTGCTGTTACTTTAACGGAGGCGCCGACGTCGAGCTCGACGCAGTTCACGATCGCAGAAAGTTCAGAGTCAATGTCTGGGACGGGGGTTGGGGTCGCTAGTAGGACGTCATTGCTGTCTTCTAGCACTGCGCAGAGTGCGGATACGAGCGTTACGTCGTCTTCGGCATCGACGACTGGCGCGGAATCAACGGTGTCGACGGGCTCGGCTGATGTGTCTGATGCGCAGGCTTCGACGATGACGACGGGCTCGGGTGGAAGGGTAGGGAGGAGTTGGTTTGGTGTTGTGGGAGTTGGTGTTGTTGTTGCGATGGTGTTGATGGTTTAAGTGATGGAGAAATATGAACATTTCCTCAGCCTTGCCTCAACCTTGAGGTGCCAAGTTAGCAGATATGCCCGATATAGCTCGACACAGAGTAGCGCGCATCAGCCTTGATAGATATTTATCGAGGCCGCTCGACGAAGACTTCGAATAGCTTCTCTCGACCCATTCCCGGCGCCAAAATGCAGTTCTTCCAGCTCCTCGTCTCGGTTGGCTCACTCTCATGCCCTGTCGCCACAGCGCTACGGATTGAAGTACCCGATGATATACTGAGGAGACAAGACTGCGCGAACCCATGTGGCTTTGGTGGTTGGCTCTGTTGCCCGTCAGGCTGGGATTGTGTCACTGATGCGGCTAACCAAGCTGATTGCGTTTATCCCTCAGACCTACCTACACAACCGCAGCCAGCTACTACTGCACCCCTACCTACACCACCGCGACCAGCTACTGCTGTACTCGACCCATCTAGCACTAGAACTAGCGTGCCATCCAACACCAGCACAGAAGCCAGAAGCTCAACGTCTGGCCTCCGGACTTCGAATCGCGCATCACAGTCAACGTCTCGTCGTCCTTTCCAAAGTCCTGCTCTACCCACTGCCACTGGATCGCAGTCATCAAAATCAACGCCTTCTGTCCCTTCTTCTCAGGATGGCTTGAGCTCTGGCGTTATAGCAGGGGCAGCGCTTGGAGCTATATTCGGTGTCGGTCTCATCGTACTGGGAATATTTTTGCTCTTCAAACGAAGAGCAAGGGCTTTGAACGCGGGGCAAGTAACGGGATATGGTGCGGATCTCCCGGTGGCCTGTAGTATGGGTCAAGAAGCGCGTGGCGCGTCTGAACTTCCGGTTGTGGACAAGACTCCACGAGTGGAAGGTCGGGGTTTTGGTGATTCGACACTTCCGATTGCTGTGGATGGCGGGAAAGCAGGGTGATGGAAGTTGTATACGCTTATATGCCAGCATGCGCGCGCTTAGCTAAGAGTATGTTACGCTTTTCCAGAAGGTCTGTATGACTAAAGCTCGTTCCCATGTGGGAAGAGATATCGATAGGTGTAGCATCGCTACCATACAACCGTTCATCGCACACCTCGCGACTACAGTACTATCTATTTTAGCCCTTTAAGCGCTCTTTAACGCCCTCGCACCTATAATATACCTTTAATTTCTAACTACTTTTTTATTGTACTCTAAACTATCTACCTAGGTAATTTCTACTGCTTACACACTAGCTATACATTAACATAATGTCGCTCTTAACACCTCCTCACTCTCTAGGTGTAGCAATACTGCCTCCCCGATATAGAATCATCCTCGCGCGGATCAAAGCCTCTGAGATTGAGCGATCGGACGAGTTGTGGCTAATAACGAGATGAAGATACTGAGAATCGACCAGGACTTGCTTTGGCGCAGACAAGCGGCGTTACGGGTACAGCCTAGTAAGTAAGCTCCCGATAGCACCTCATGGTAAATGATTTACAATCGATCGTGATTACCGAATGCATGCTTGCACCTTCCCAATGCTTGCTCATATCCCCACCGATAGCCGGTCACTACACGAGTGCCATCGCAACGCAGCAGCGACTGTGGCCTTCAATACAAACAACTTCCTATCGTGCGCAAATACCAAGACAGAACGAGGCTTCTCAACACATCATGGAAGCTGCGTCGCAGACAATGTCCGTCATTCTTACCTCGTAGGGCGCAGGCGGCTGCAGCATAAGCCCGCCACCAGACCGCCGATACCCGAGGCGCAAAACCCAGTCATACCCGGGCTTCCGCCCACCACCAATTCCTGCGCCATCCGTTGTATCACCCTATCATCTATAACTTTTATCCCATTACCATGGACGACTCCGCTACTGGCACAGGCCAACAAGATGTCAATTCGGCGTCTGCAAGCAAAAAGCGGACCCACCCCGAGGATTTCAAGCGCGCATACAAGGCTTGCATCAACTGCCGGCAACGCAAGGCTAAGTGCATCTTGGGAACCGGGCCAGATGGTGGTGAACTAAAGCCACCATGTCAGCGATGCAAGCGCGAGATGCGCGAGTGTGTGTTTCGCTCCGAGAGAAGCTGGGTTAAGAGACGTAAACCGGGGGAAGCGGCGCGCGAGGGCGAGGAAGACGATGAGGCTGTTCATGATCGCCCTCAGTCAAATCCTGCGCCAAACGTGCAGCCCTCGCCAGCTCATAGGTCGTCCATATCGACGCATGGTTTCACGCCGGGGACTAGTCCGCATGTCAACGGCACGAATCGCACTGAGTTTCAGTCACCTCATGGGCATCTTCGCAGGATCTCGTCGAGCCAGCCGGATCTTGCGCATTCGGTTATGCGGACCGTGGTGTCGAGTGGGAGCGATGCGTTGAATTTGCTTTTCGAAGCTGCGCATCATCGCGATGCTATCGATAGCCAGGAACAGTCGGGCTCGCAGGCATATGAGACTCCAAGGTCAGGGCCATCGGGCTATGAGGGTGTTCCGTCGTCGCCGTTCCATACCTTCAGAGCGCAGCCGGTGCAGATGTCGACGCCGTCACCAGAGACGCTGAAGACGTGGACGTCATGTCGGTTCGTGCAGATGGGCTGGTTCTCCGCACATGAGGCGGTCACCTACGTTGATCTATTCTTCAAGAACTGCTCGCCATTGTCGCCGATACTGGGAGAATTTTACTCTCATCATGAGAATCACTATACGCTCATTGCGTTGGATCCATTCCTGTGCACTACCATACTCATGATTTCATCTAGGTACAACATTCTTCCTGGTGTAGGCGGCGCATCCAGAGGTTACTTTGTGCATGACAGGCTTTGGGAGCAATGCCAGCGCTTCATCATGAAGATCATGCTCGGACAAGTCAAGCCGTCGAAAGCGCAGAGTCGGACCATTGGATCTATAGAGGCGCTTCTCTTGCTGTCCGAATGGCATCCTCGCGCGCTGCATTTCCCCACTGCTGCTGATGGCTGGGATTGCGAGCTCATGATCGGCGCGAACAACACCACAGAGGAAGGCGCGAAGCTGTTGGAAGGTGACGTAACATCCAATCGATGGCTTGAGGATGTCATCGAGCCGGCTAAACGTTCTGACCGTATGTCATGGATGCTGATGGGATGCGCGCTGTCGTTAGCACAAGAGCTGGGTCTCTTCGAAGACAACGCTAGGATCGACAAGGACCAAGTGTCTTACCCAAAGTTCACCACTGAGTACCTCATCTTACGAAGGATCAGAGCTCGGAAGCTACTATATGTTCTGCTCGAGCAGCTTTCATGGAGGCTCGGTTGCACATCGATGATCCCGCAGAGTCTTAATCATGCTCTGATGGAGAAGATACCAGTCGACTCCGCAACCGGTGCAGTCGAGCAGTGGCAGTCCTTCATGAGCGCCTGGGTCGAACTCACCAAGCTCGCTCGCTCAATCTCAGACACCATCTACCCAAACACCGCCACGACACGAAGTTTACTACGCACTGGTCGCTACATCGGGCTGTTGGAGCACTTTCAGCCATTGCTAGTATCGTGGCGTAAGAAGTATCTCGACCCATGCAAGCTCAAAGTCGGTCTCCACGACATGCTCCACATCGAATACCAATACGTCCGCATTTACACCAACTCCCTCGGCATGCAAGCCGTCGTCGAGCGTACACTCGCTGAAACCGATCCCGATGTGCCGCAGGAAGACAACCTCCCGTTCAACCTCGAGCCGCGAGACTACGACTTCATCCAAGAAGTCGTCGACGGAAGCTGTCAGATTCTGCAAAAGGTCTGTCAGCTTTCTGAAACGGGGGCGCTGCGGTACTCGCCTGTCAGGATCTTCTTGCGGATAACGACTAGCTCGATCTACTTGATCAAAGGGTTGAGCCTGGGTAGTAGGAATGCCAAGTTGCAGAGTTGTTTGGATATCCTGGACGCGGCGATCAGGGCTCTTCGTGCTAGTAAGTCCATCTCTTCCACCCAACGCACATCTCGCTCTGCGGTCACTAACACGGTATCCCAGGTACCCTCGATGACATGCACCTCGCATCCCGCTACGCCACTCTCCTCGACCTGCACGTCGCCCGCCTCCGCGAATCCTTCGTCGTATCCTCACGTCCACCCCGCCTGCCCTCGCGCGCCACTTCCACCCCCCATAATACGTCTCATAATACTTCACACGCCGCCTCCGCCTCCGCAACAGAAGGCATGGCGTTCTTGAACAATCATAATGCGGGCCAGTCTAGCTTGTCGAGCCTAGCGGAGAATGTAACGGGGCTTATGCCGGATATGCCGGATGATGATTGGTTGGCGCTGCCTTTTGATCCGGCGATGGCGCCGTTTGGGTTGGATGGGGGGTTGCAGGGTGGGTTCCAGGGGTTTGATGATGGGACGTTGGATTTTATTTGGAATTTGCCTATGTAGGGGTGGTGGATGAGGTGGGTGCGTTGGGGGTATGAAGAGGTACACAGGGGTGGAGACTCTGCCTAGAGATTCTTCTCGCTCTTACTGAAGAGATTGTGTTGGGACAATTCGGGGGGAGAACAAGCAATACGTTATCTGCATCGGTTCTTTCTCGTAGAGTCTGTTCCAGCAGGTACCAAATCTTGACGGTAAGTAGCAAACTTGACATCACGCCCGCAGATATACCATACCATTCCCATACCCTCAAAACCCAACACCCCACCTCCCCATCCCCAAGCCTCTATGTTCTCATACCCAACCCCCGATCTCCTCCTACTAGCGCTATCCTGCTCCGGTCTCATTCTCCTGCGCATCCGCAAGCCCTTCAAAGTCATAGGGCTTCTTGCCTTCATGTCTATCTACCACATGCGCGTCGACAATCATGATAGCTGCGTAAGCAACGCGCTCCAAGAATGTAATTACATCGTTCCTCACTGCGCTGCGAAGACGGAAACGTGTGAGGAGTTTCATGGATGGGATAGGCTGGTGGATGAAGATGGTTATGTGGCAGATTGCGGGAGCGAGTGTTAGTGACCTCGATATACGAGTTTTCGTTGAGTTGTCTATCAATCCCTCTCAATCTTGTTGGAGCCTGGTTCAGCTCATCTCGCATCGATTTCACATCAATGCGCACCATTCTAAAACACTTGCGCTTCCCAAAGACTCCTTTTCGATGTTGTTTTCTTTGCCTAGGTACTTCCGCTCTCAAGACTGACACCGCCGATATCATCGTCAACGTTGAGGAAGTGGAATCGCTTCTCGTCCTCCTCACCCATTTCCGAATCGTCCTTCAGTAAATCGATATCGAACCATTCTACCTCTCCTTTGTCGCGTTGTCTCACGGAGACAGTCTTTCGGCCCGCGTGTCGCTCTCCGACTCTTGTCTTTCCGCCGCACATCGTGGCGCATATCAATATTACTCCGTATGCTACAACGCATAGTACAACAAAGCTTAAGAAAGCGAGGTGCGCGTGGCTCTGGGTCGTTTGATCGATGTAGGTGACGTTGTCAATTTGAAGCATGGAGATTCCGTCTACTACGAAGTAGACTAGAAAGAGCGGTGCCATGCAAGTGACGAACATGGCTATAGTGGTTTGGAGGGACATAATAGACTTTCGAGAACAACAAAGCGTTTCGTATGGTAGTGACTGGGTAATGTTCGAAGATTGAGTGCGTAGGTATGAAGATAGATCCTTATCGATGGGCGATGATGTGCCGCTTTAGATTCGCGAAACCGTGCCGCATCGCATACAAAGATAAGATTGATGTTTGCTGCCAGAAACATGTCCCGGGCGCTTGCCGATAGCGTAGCGCCTCAGCTTGGAAGGGGCTAGCTTCTGTTCAAGAGCGCATAAGATAGGTCAATGGATCACGTCTTTCGCAGCAAACCACATCATGTGACGGAGCGAATGAGCCACGCGATAATCCATCGCAATTGAATCTATCAGCCCGAAGCGTTCATGCCCATCTCCTCTCTCAGCGCATCTCTCACAATAACCCCACACATCTTCTTATACGGGTTCGTCCTCACACTCATCTCCCTCGCCACTTCATCTCCATACCGCGCCGCAGCCGCAAAGTCTTTACTCGCTTGCTCCTCCAACTCCGACTTGGTCATACCGTATAAACGTACTTCTGATTCCACAGCTTTGAGATAAAGGTACGCGCGGTGCGAATATACCGTTCGTAGAATCTTCGCAGCATGCGGCGACACGGCTGGTGTAGACGTGGAAGCTGTGGAGGAAAGGTTGATCGCCTGCGCGAGATCAGAGAACACAGCCTCAATATCTGACTCCGCTGTCTCATTCGCAGTCCCGAAAATTGTCTTCCCTTCTTCCAAAGCAGCCTCAAGCTTCATTCGCCGTACCATGGCACGGTTCACCCACGCACCCGCATACGCCGGCCACTGCTTTACCACCGCGTTCAATTCTTCGATCGCAGAGTTTATGTCGCTGACGCTTGATGTGCTGGATATGCGGCCTATGATTTCGCTTTGTTGGCGCTCGAGTGCGGTGAGCTGTGTGTCTGGAAGAATGGGATGGGCGGGTAGTGATGGGTCGATTGATGAGGATATGTCTTTTTGTTGGCCGACGGAGGAAGGGAGGGTCTCTGGGTCGAAGAGCGCGTTGAGGATGCGTGCGTCGTTTGCGGAGAGCGAGGTGTTGGGGAGGGTGATTGCCATGGTTGTGTTGGGCTTGGTCGTGGAATGTATGGCTTTCTTGAAGGTGGCTGAAGAAAGTTGGCATATGGACTCAGCGCGAGAACATAGAGATTCTTTCACGTGAAAGCCATTTTGATCATCGCGATGTTGCACGTCACGTTCTTTCACTCGGCTTAAGCTGCGGAATTCCACGGCAAAGTTCAGGGAGGCTGCGGAAGGCGGCTCGCGCAAGGCTGTCTGGCTCGGCCTATGCGCGGATGGACGAGAACACCCTCGCATGATTCTCCATGTCCATGTCAACTTGTTCTAGCTATGAACAAGCTCAAGTTTAGAGCTGCTAAAGCGCATCAAGCCAGATGGTAAATGAACATAGTATACTTGATGGTGGTGAAGTCGCATGGTTGTGAATTTAGTGAGGGCAGGCTCGCCAGGGAATTGCCGGCTGGCCGCAAAGCCGCAACAACGTGGCGACCAACACTCCTCCTACACGCAACATCGTACATCAAAACCACCCAGACCTGTTCCCAGGGTATGCGCAACTAGTCGCAAACATCATAATCGCGATCTGACGCAAATCGCTCGCCGAGAGCTTGCTACAACCACACGACTGCGACGCGTCGTTCTTACGGCGGATGCAGGCGGAACTTTCATTGGCGGAAAGCGGCGGACAACACTTACTTTCTTCTGGCGGCCAGTGCACGTGAGCTCGGCATAACCAAGTAAATGACGCTACCTGGATTGAAAATGGTAATTGCTAGCAAGAGTGATCGGATATCGGTTCGAGAAGGGAAGTGGATGCAGAACGGTAGAAGATAAAGAATGGCTGCGCATCGGTGCCTAGTGGGCAGTTCACTACACTTCGCAACACTGCTTTATTACTTCCTAGCCAGAGATCTGATTACTTTCAACTATACCTGAGTTACTCAACTGTTCATTCCTGTTCTCAAATCACTTTCACAATGGCGCCCGCTGCTATCTCCCCACCGGCATCGCCACGGCAATCCGCTGCCACCCCTTCAGACGTCTCTTCATACCAAGGCTACCACCATGTGCACTGGTATGTCGGTAACGCCAAACAAGCAGCTTCGTTCTACGTATCACGTATGGGCTTTGAGCGTGTTGCATACCGCGGACTAGAGACCGGATCAAGAACGACTGCATCCCATGTTATCCGGAATGGCAAGGTGACTTTCATCCTCACATCGCCCTTGAGGTGCCTAGAGCAGGGCTCAAGATTCAGCAAAGAAGATGAGCAGCTTCTGCGAGAGATCCATGAGCACCAAGAGCGCCATGGTGATGCCGTCAAAGGTAGGATAGCATCCCCTATCGTCGTTCAGCATCCTTACTGACTTATCAACCCAGATGTCGCTTTTGAAGTCGACAACGTAGATGCCATATACTCCGCGGCCGTCTCATCAGGCGCCGCCACCATCTCAGCCCCGCACGACATCTCCGACAGCTACGGCACCATCCGCCTCGCCACCATCCGCACATACGGCGACACAACGCACACGCTCATCCAAAAGAACAACTACGCCGGCATCTTCCTCCCCGGCTACCGCCCCGAATCCACATCTGCCGACCCCCTCCAAAAGTACCTACCCCAAGTCAAGCTCGAAGCCATCGACCACTGCGTCGGCAACCAAGACTGGGACGAGATGGAAAGCGCGTGCGAATACTACGAGAAGGTGCTTGGTTTCCACCGCTTCTGGAGCGTCGACGACAAGGATATTTGCACTGAGTACTCGGCGCTTAAGAGTATTGTCATGAGCTCGCCGAATGATGTGGTCAAGATGCCTATCAATGAGCCTGCCAAAGGCAAGAAGCAGAGCCAGATTGAGGAGTACGTTGACTTTTACGGTGGTCCTGGTGTTCAGCATATTGCGCTACGCACTGATAATATCGTTCGCGACATCACCAATCTGAAAGCGAGGGGTGTGGAGTTCATCAAGGTGCCTGAGACTTACTATGACTCTATGAAGATGCGGCTCAAGAAGTCGGGACTCAAGCTTAACGAGGACTTTGAGGTGCTCAAGAGCTTGGATATCCTGATTGACTTTGATGAGGGCGGTTACCTGTTGCAGCTTTTCACGAAGCATTTGATGGATCGGCCGACGGTGTTCATCGAGATCATCCAGAGGAACAACTTTGATGGGTTTGGCGCGGGCAACTTCAAGAGTCTGTTCGAGGCGATTGAGCGGGAGCAGGACGCTCGGGGTAACTTGGTTTGAGCGGCGCGTCGTGTCGATGGTGGGTCGTAGCATTTCCAGGCGTTCATCTCGTTCCTAGCGATGCGGTCGCTGGCCGTTCTTCGGGCTTTCAACACATATCCAGTTCAATACATACCATATTTCACATCGCAAAGTTCCGTCGCCCTTACTAACCCATGCTGACCTATGTCGCCCATCCCGTCTCACCCTGCAACGCCACCCGCCCCAACATCCCGAGACGCGTTTCACCCCCTGCCCCCTCATCGTCGTCAACACCACCACGCATCGAAACGCACATCCACGCATATCACACCCAGCCAAGCATATCCGCCGTCGAAAATCCGGCCGAAAGCGCGCTTGCCCAGTGCAGCTCACACCTTGCCGCGACGTCTTGACCCAGCCAAGCCACACCCGCATTACAGGGCGAGCAAACCGCCAACAACGCCATTCAAATCCCGTGACAAACATACCTTCGGTGCTTGCGGATTCCGGTCGCAAATGATGTGTCGCTGCTTCGGCAAGTGCATTTCTGACTTGCATGATTAGTATGCTGAGGCCGTGGAATCCGTGGAGATTGCGTATAAAGCGATAGGTCATCGCACTGTTGTAGGGCACAATGAGAGTAGCGCCGACTTCTGCTTTCTGAAGCCGACGGCGAAGCTCTGTCGGATTCCCCGATTTCGAAAGGAACCTCTGCTTCGACACTCTTTTCTTCTTTGGAGGCGGACCTCTGCCGATTCAGCTCGTCGCAAGCATATGCGCCTAGAAGTCGCCGCGCCGTCTATCCCTGGATCTGGATCTTGAGAGAGGTCAGCGAAGTCAGCGAGAGGACGTCACGAGATATGTTGGGCATAGCTCTCATGAAGGACCTCCTTAGGGTTTCAGCGCGAACCAGATCACCATAGATCGCATGCACGCAAGATCTCTAGCTTAGCGCTTTATCAGAGTCATGAATTCGTGATATCTATAGTCTAGCAACACATTGAGATCTACCGACAAAGATACAGTGAAAGTTGAGACATGAGGATGATGATAGGCAACGGGTGAACATGACATTATGCACTAAAAAGAAGAGATGACCACGTAAAGAATGAATGGCTGCCCCATTTAAGTAATTCTTGTTTCAGTTTAAACATGTGCCGTCATATACGTTATGACGCCTAGTGTTGTTCCCATACTCGTACAGTTGATCGTTCTGCCAGGCTGTTGTAGCAGATCTTGTCTAGACATGAAGGAAAAGCGTCGCGCGTAGTGCAGAAGAGCTTGCCGGCGCTGTGGGTCAATGGGTACTGCAAAAGAGTGACCCATGACGAGCGCACTTAGGCGAAGGCCCCGACAATGGACATACCAGCTGCGCCCATCAGGACGTAGATGAATGCATATGTCTTGGTGCTGCCGGTCATTGTGTGCTGAGCCTCCTCAGAGA